ACCTCTCCTTACCCCTCCACACACACACCACACTTATGCCATCCACCCCTCACCACCCTACATCCCCCCTCCACGAAAATATTTGGGAAGGTGACAAGCCAAGACGATGTCACAACAATGCAGTAAGACCTGCATGAGCTGTTCAAATGGTCTTGAGACTAGCAAATACTCCTTAACATTATAAAATGCAAGGCCCTACACGTAGGATACAACAACCTTAATCACAACTATTTTGTTCGTAACACTTTCATAGATACTGTTAATAAGGAGAAATATCTTGGCGTTGTGATACGAGTATATCATTCACTGAAGTGGAGGCAGCAGTGAGGAAAGCATATCGAGATCTGGGAATTATAAAGCGTACCTTTGAATACAAAGATATGAAAATGCTCCTTCAACTGTACAACCCTCAAGTACGTCCCAGTCTGGATTACTGTATACAGGCAATATGGAAATCCTACCTCCCTAAGGACCTAGCAACCCTAGAAAAGGTGCAACACAGAGAGACTAAGATGATTTGGGAACTATATCATTTCGATCATCCAGGTACTGTAGACTGAGGGCCTTGAGACTACAACCCTACAAAATAAGGCAGATCTCAATGAAACAAAATTCGGAAAGGGATGGAAAACGTGAACCAGGGCCATTTCTCTGTGCTGTCACACGAGAGGACATAACTACAAGTTCATCAAGTTATCATGCAGAACGAATACAAGGAAATACTTCTTCACACAGAGGCTGGCAGATCTAAGAAACAGTCTACCAGCCCACGTTGTGGAATCAAGAAGAGTACTGCTGACGGTCGTGTAATATTTCAATGTGATTCTGGTCTTTTAATATGTTAGTTTTTGCATAATGTAGTATTACTGATACATAATTTGTCTTAGTATGCCTTATTGTGGGTAAAAATAAGTATATATTAAATGCATCCTCCGAAAGCGTGAATTTGCTACCAGAGTTTAACAGTTAATTCATGTATAATACTTCTTATAAACTTCCCACGTGCTAATGTTTGAAATAATGAATGTATGTATCTTTATATAATTTAGGTAAATATCGTTCTCGTCAGAAACGGTCATCCCAACGATTATGAATAAACTCATTAAGAAATACATCATTACTTCAGGACAAAATCGGACAGATTTGCAAGTCAATCAGCTGTAACTTTTTAGGAGGGGGCGGGACATCTGTTCTCAGCTGGGAAATAACGCACTATAGTATTAACCCGACGTAATCCTCCAAGTAGTGTTAAGGTGTTTAATCATCAGGCGAAATAAGCTGAGATGCCTAATCTTCACACAGTTAAATTATCTCGGTGATTCTTGTAATACTGTTGGTGTTTCCTTTACTCCTTTTGAACATTTTCTCTTCCCCCTTGTCTCCTCGCACCTTTATCCTCCAGCGCGGCCATATGGTGGGCACAAGGCCAATCAATATATATTGACCTTGGGTGGGCCTAACACCCACACCTTCCTCCGCAAGTGTCCTACCGCCCACGTTATTCAGTTCATATACAGCATATAAACTCTGTGTAAACATAAATCATATTATTACAGCAGGTGTCATCCAGTGTGACCCAACCAAACATCCCAGGTTCTCTCCGAACGGCTATTAAGCAGACAAGTGCTGGAAGTAATAAATTAAACTTCACACAGACCTGATAGTAGAACCCGTCAACCAGCAGCTCCATAACTTTGCTCCAAAATGGGTTTGTCGGCAGTCCTTTAGGGGCGTTGGTGTAGCCGCTTGCGGTGTAAGTTTTCCCCCATTTGGTTGTTGTCACAAACTCCTGCAACTATCCTAAGGCGTTCTGGAATGATGCTCCCTTCATGGTCGTTGGATGCCATGCAGTAAGACAAGTGCCAATAAATATTCCTCTCGTTTAAACGGAGAGATGCGCGTTCCCACTGAGTCCTTCAGGGAGAAGTTTATCACCTCTATGGACTGGTTTAAGAGCTCATCACCCTACACTAACTAGTGGCCGGTGAAGGACGGTGCACACCTCAGGAGGTACATCAGCCTATACACACAGAGACACTTTGTGAGGAGGTACAAGGTGTCATGGGCATCCAGGTGCTGGTCTATTCTTTTCTCCATCATAACTTCTTAATGTACAATACATGAGCTTATTTTGGAGGACAACGGTGATAACGCTGGTGTCCACGGGTGCCCCAAGCAGGGTACTGTTGGAGTGCCTGCAGGCATCCAGCAAGATGCCCCTTAATGAATGCCTTACAATAAATTAATCTCAATCTCACCAAACAGCAGGTTTAGGACTTTGCCGAACCAAGATGACACGCCGGGCAGGAGACAGAAACAGAGATGGATGGCTTTGGTACTTCACTTCTTCTGGTCTAGTTGAAAACGCACTTGAAGTCACATTTTACTTCACCTTCTCCCCAGTGGTGTTGTTGACAGTGACCTTTAATGCACGGACTGTTGCCCAAGTAATTTGTTATCAGTAGTTTGGTGGTGGCCAATAAGATATCTCCCATTACTGTTCTGACGAAAAGGCACCAGAGGGTGTTACCCACAATATGTCTGATTCCGCTACATTTATTTTTCGGGCCATTTAAGGAAGGTGTTGACAAGGCTTGCTAGCTCAACCAGGTACATCATAATGACACGTTCAGGGACTGGGTTGATAACAATGTATTTTAGGGGTAATTCTAAAACAGCAGAAATTTATATACAAAGAGTTGTTCTTCCCTTTTCAACAATTCAAATAGGTTTCTATGTAGATATGAAGATGTAGATTGTTGATAATACCACAAATAATACATGAATAACATCAACACTAACCAACCTAAGAACCTAGCCTTGACTAAACCAATTTAGGTATATTTTAGTTACGTTGTGATGGCAATTTGTGTCTTAAATGAAACTGAGCTAATTTTACCATCATGAGCTAAATTTCCTTAGGTTATAGAAATATAAACAGAAACTTACTCCAATCTGGCGAACATAAACACACACAGACAGAAGAACTCACCGTGAAGTGGTTGAAACAGCTGTCAGCCGTCAATACAAGTCTTTCCTTACCTGGGGAAAATAAACATAAGAATCAGTACCTGTACATATTAACAACTAGAGTCATGAGGGAGCTTAGACATTTTAGAAAGAAGAGGACACACACACACACACTGTACCATGTTTATCATAGTTTCATTAGTAATTGTATGACGATCTGATTTTGGTCTCTCTCTCTCTCTCTCTCTCCCAAGGCCACACCCTCGCTACTTCCCTTTTAACCCTGATAACACTCTGCTATCAGTGCATCACGATCCTTCTTCTATTACACTCAACACAGAAACTGGCCACGCCCCTCCCAGCTCTCTCTCACACAGACACCTGCATAGGCCTGTGTGTGTGTGTGTGTGTGTGTGTGTGTGTGTGTGTGTGTGTGTGGTGTGTGTGTGTGTGTGTGTGTGTGTGTGTGTGTGTGTGTGTGTGTGTGTGTGTGTGTGTGTGTGTGAAGAGGAGAACAAGAAAAACACAAACATATTGACTACGTTCGGTTTCTTAATTTACTAACATTTCGTTTTTATTTTCCATCATAAGAGCCAGAAAACAGACTGAAAGTTCAAAATTACAAGTAATAAAATTAAATATTATTAAAAATTTCCTTTCACAAAACTTTTAAAGATAAAATAGTATTATAAATTACAACTACTAAAAATGACGGGAGACCAAAGTACAAAACTAATATCAAAACAAACTAAAACATACAGGAGATACTACCTTAATTGAGAAGGCCTTGGTGAGAAAAACACAGGAAGCTATATCACAAATGTGTGGCTTTACTTTAGAAAGTCACCCATCACCAGCACGACCTTACCAGCTAGCATCACCCATCACCAGCACGACCTTACCAGCCAGCATCACCCATCACCAGCACGACCTTGGCAGCTAGCATTACCCATCACCAACACGACCTTACAGTAGCGTACCCACATCCTGCCCGAGCCTTGTTAGCACATCACGCATCACCAGCACAACCTTACCAGCCAGCGTTACCCCATCACCAGCACGACCTTACCAGCTGGCATCACCCATCACCAGCACATTGTACCAGCTAGCATCACCCATCACCAGCACCACGCAGCTAGCATTACCCATCGCAACACGACGCCCTGGCTAACATTACCCATCACCAGCACGACCTTACAACCCAGCATCGCATCACCAGCACAACCTTACCAGCCAGCGTTACCCATCACCAGCACGACCCTTACCAGCTAGCATCACCCATCAGCTTTTGACCTTACCGGCTGCGTGCCATCACCAACACGACCTTACCAGCTAACGTGCCATCACCAACACGACCTTACCGGCTTCAGCATCACCCATCCTGTACGACCTTACCAGCTAGCATTACCCATCACCAGCGCACGACAAAAAGCCAGCATTACCCATCACCAGCACGACGCCTGAAGCTGGCATCTCACCCATCACCAGCACGACGCCTACAGTAGCATTGCCATCACCAGCACGACGCCCTGGCTAGCATCTCACCCATCACCAGCACGACATACCAACTAGCGTACCCATCACCAACACGACCTTACAACCCAGCATCACCCATCCTTAGCACAACCTTAAAAGCCAGCATTACCCATCACCAACGACCTTACAAATAGCATCACCCATCACCAGCACGACCTTACCGGCTAGCATCACCCATCACCAGCACGACAACACAACCCAGCATCACCCATCACCAGCGACGCCTGGCTAGCATCACCCATCGCAGCCGACCTTACAAGTAGCATCACCCATCGCCAGCGACCTTAAAGCCAGCATCACCCATCACCAGCACGACAGCAAAAGCTAGCATCTTGTCCCCACGACCTTACAAGCCAGCGTACCCATCACCAGCACGACCTTACAAGCTGGCATCACCCATCACCAGCACGACCCAGCAAAAGCCAGTACCCATCACCAGCTTACGACCCGCCTGGCTAGCATCACCCATCACCAGCACGACCTTTAAAACCGGCATGCCCATCACCAACACGACCTTACAAGCTAGCGGTACCCATCACCAGCACACGAACCCAGCAAAAGCCAGCGTACCCATCACCAACACGACCTTACTGGTACAGCATCACCCATCACCAGCACAGACAGCAAAAGCCAGCATTGCCCATCACCAGCACGACCTTTAAGCCTGCGTACCCATCACCAGCACAGACGCCAAAGCCAGCATTACCCATCACCAACACGACCTTACAAGCTGGCATCACCCATCACCAACTGAACCGTAAAAAGCCAGCGTACCCATCCACCAGCACGACCTTACAAGCTAGCATTACCCATCACCAGCACAGACAGCAAGCCAGCGTACCCCATCACCAACACGACCTTACAAGCTAGCATCACCCATCACCAGCACGACAGCAAAGCCAGCGTTACCCATCACCAGCACGACCTTACAAATGGCATTGCCATCCACCAGCACAGACAAAGCCAGCATTATCCATCACCAGCACATTATTAAAGCCAGCATTGCCCATCTTAACACGACCTTACAAGCTAGCATTGCCATCACCGCGCACGAACGTTAAAAGCCAGCATTACCATCACCAACACGACCTTACAAGCTGGCATCTTACATCACCAGCACACGACCTTACAAGCCAGCATCACCCATCACCAGCACGACCTTTACAAACTAGCATTACCCATCACCAGCACGACGATACAAGCCAGCATTACCCATCCTGGCACAGACAGCCAAAAGCCAACGTACCATCACCAACACGACCCTTACAAACCGGCATTACCCATCACCAGCACGACCTTCAAGCTGGCATTGCCATCACCAACACGACCTTACAAACCAGCACATTACCCATCAGCACGACATACAAGCCAGCATCACCCATCACCAGCACGACCCTTACAAACTAACGTTACCCATCACCAGCGCGACATTACAAGCCAGCACCTATCACCAGCACGAACCAGCAAAAACCAGCATTACCCATCGCAGCACGAACGCCAAAAGCCAGCGTGCCATCACCAGCACGACCGCCTGGCTAGCATTACCCATCACCAACACGACCATACACATGTCGGCATTACCCATCACCAACAAGACCCTTCAAGCCAGCACTACATCACCAGCGACATTACAAGATAGCATTACCTCCACCAGCGTTTACAAACCGCGTGCCATCACCAGCATGACCTTGCAAGCTACTGTCACCCATCAACAGCACATTGTACATGTCAGCATTACCCATCACCAGCACGACATTGCAAGCCAGCATTGCCATCACCAGCACGAACGCCAAAGCCAGCGTACCCATCCTGGCCCGACCTTATAAGCCAGCATTACCCATCACCAACAAGACCACCACAAACCAGCACTACCCATCACCAGCACGACCTTACAAAGCCAGCATCACCCATCACCAGCACGACCGCCTGACCAGCATCACCCATCACCAGCACGACCATGCAAGCCAGCACTACCCATCACCAGCACGACGCCGTACAAACTAGCATTACCATCACCAGCACGACCTTACAAACCAGCATCACCCATCACCAGCACGACCTTACAAGCCAGCACTACCCATCACCAGCACGACATTAAGATAGCATCACCCATCACCAGCACGACAGCCTGAAGCTACCATCACCCATCACCAGCACAACCTTACAGCCAGCACTACCCATCACCAGCACGACATTACAAGATAGCATCACCCATCACCAGCACGACCTTACGACTACCCGGCATACCCATCACCAGCACAACCTTACAAGCCGGCACTACCCATCACCAGCACGACCTTCCTGAGATAGCATCACCCATCACCAGCACGACCTTACAAGCTACCAACACCCATCACCAGCACAACCTTACAAGCCAGCACTACCCATCACCAGCACGACATTACAAGATAGCATCACCCATCACCAGCACGACCTTACAAGCTACATCACCATCACCAGCACAACCTTACAAACCAGCACTACCCATCACCAGCACGACCTTACAAGCTACCATCACCCACCACCAGCACGACCTTGCAAGCTACCATCACCCATCACCAACACGACCTTACAAGCTGCAACACCCATCACCAGCACGACCTTACAAACTAGCATCACCATCACCAGCACGACGTTACAGATAGCATCGCATGCTGGCACGACCTGGCTAGCATCACCCTCACCAGCACGACCTTACAAAGTTAGCATCACCCATCACCAGCGACCTTACAAGCCCTAGCATCACCCATCACCAGCACGACCTTACTGTGGCATCACCCATCACCAGCGACGCCTGAAAGCCAGCATCACCCATCACCAGCACGACGCCCTGGCCAGCATTACCCATCACCAGCACGACCTCACGTACCAGTACCCATCACCGGCACGACCTTACAAACTAGCATCACCCATCACCAGCACGACGTAAGCCAGCGTACCCATCACCAACACGACCTTACAGGCTAGCATCGCCATCACCAGCACGACCTTAAAAATAGCATTACCCATCACCAACACGACCTTACAAATGGCATTACCCATCACCAGCACGAACCTTAAAGCCAGCGTACCCATCACCAACACGACCTTACAAGCTAGCATCACCCATCACCGGCACGAACCTTAAAGCAATGCCCATCACCAACCGACCAACCCTGGCTAGCATTACCCATCCTGGCACAGACGCAAAAGCCAGCATTACCCATCACCAGCAAACCTGGCTGGCATTGCCCATCACCAGCACAGACAGCAAAAGCCAGCATTACCCATCACCAGCGACCGCCTGGCTAGCATCACCCATCACCAGCGACGCTCAAAGCCAGCATTACCCATCACCAGCACGTATACAGGCTAGCATTACCATCACCAGCACGAACCTTAAGCCAGCGGCATTATCATCACCAGCACGACCTTAAAACCGGCATTACCCATCGCAACACGACCTTACAAGCTAGCATTACCCATCACCAGCACGAACGTTCAAAACCAGCGTTACCCATCACCACGACCTTACAAGTAGCATCACCCATCACCACTTCGACCTTACAAGCCAGCATCACCCATCACCAGCACGACCTTACAAACTAGCATTGCCCATCACCAGCACGACATTACAAGCCGGCATTGCCCATCACCAGCACGAGCCGCCGTAGCATTACCCATCACCAACACGACCTTACAAGCCAGCGTGCCATCACCGGCGACTTACAAGCTGGCATTGCCCATCACCAACACGACCGCCCTGACCAGCATTACCCATCACCAGCACGACCTTCCTGAGCCAGCATCACCCATCACCAGCACGACCTTACAAACTAACATTGCCATCACCAGCACGACATTACAAGCCAGCGTTACCTATCACCAGCACGAACCTTAAAACCAGGCATTTACCCATCACCAGCACCAGACAAAGCAGCATTACCATCCACCAGCACGACCAACCTGAAGCTAGCATTACCCATCCACCAACACGACCTTACATCGGCGTTACCCATCACCAACAAGACCCATTCAAGCCAGCACTACCCATCACCAGCACGACATTACTGAAATAGCGTACCCATCACCAACACGATCTTCCAAGCCAGCGTACCCATCACCAGCATGACCTTGCGACTCATCCTGCATCAACAACGTTAACACATGTCAGCATTACCATCACCGGCACGACATTACAAGCCAGCATTACCCATCACCAGCTACGAACCTTAAGCCAGCATTACCCATCACCAGCACGACCTTACAAGCCAGCATTACCCGCCACCAACAAAGACCCTACAGCCAGCACTACCCATCACCAGCACGACCTTACAATCGGCATCACCCATCACCAGCACGACCTTACAAGCCAGCATCACCCATCACCAGCACGACCGTGCAAGCCAGCACTACCCATCCAGCACGACATTACAAGCTAATTACCCATCACCAGCACGACCTTACAGCCAGCATCACCCATCACCAGCACGACCTTACCAAGCCAGCACTACACATCACCAGCACGACATTACAAGATAGCATCACCCATCACCAGCACGACCTGGCTACCATCACCCATCACCAGCACAACCTTACAAGCCAGCACTACCCATCACCAGCACGACGTTACAAGATAGCATCACCCATCACCAGCACGACCTTACAAGCTACCAACACCCATCACCAGCACAACCTTACAAGCCAGCACTACCCATCACCAGCACGACCTTACAAGATAACATCACCATCACCAGCACGACCTTACAAGCTACCAACACCCATCACCAGCACAACCTTACAAACCAGCTACCCATCGCCAGCACGACATTACAAGATAGCATCACCCATCACCAGCACGACCTTACAAGCTACCATCACCCATCACCAGCACAACCTTACAAGCCAGCACTACCCATCACCAGCACGACGCTTACAAGCTATCACCCACCACCAGCACGACCTTGCGAAACTGCCATCACCATCACCAGCACGACCGCCCCTGACTACCAGCACCCATCACCAGCACATTGTACAATGGCATCACCCATCACCAGCACGACATTACAAGATAGCATCACCATCACCAGCACGACCTTACAAGCTGGCATCACCCATCACGCCAGCGACCGCCTGAGATAGCATCACCCATCACCAGCACGACCTTACAAATAGCATCACCCATCACCAGCACGACCTTACTAGCCAGCATCACCCATCGCCAGCACGACCTTACAGCCAGCATCGCACCCATCACCAGCACGACCTTACCAAGCCAGCATTACCCATCACCAGCACATTCTCACATGCTAGCGTGCCCATCACCAGCACGACCTTACAAGCCAGCGTGCCCATCACGAGCCCGACCTTGTGCCAGCATCTTACATCCTGGCAACGACCTTACAAGCCAGCATCACCCCTCCTGGCACGACCTTACAAGCCAGCATCACCCATCACCAGCACGACCTTACAAGCCAGCATCACCCATCGCAGCGGCCTTCCAGCATTACCCATCACCAGCCCGACCTTACGTACCAGCACTACTTATCCCCGGCACGACATTACCAAGCTAGCATTACCCATCACCAGCACATTACAAATAGCATCTGCCATCTGGCACGACCTTACAGAATAGCATCACCCGTCACCAGCGACCGCCTGGCTAGCATCACCCATCACCAGCGACCTTATTAGCCAGCATCACCCATCACCAGCTTGCGACCTTACAAGATAGCATCACCCATCACCAGCACGACCGCCTGACCAGCATCACCCATCACCAGCACGACCTTATTAGCCAGCATCACCATCACCAGCACGACAACCCACAAGCCAGCATTGCCATCACCAGCACGACCTTACAAACCAGCATTACCGTCACCAGCACGACCTTACAAGCCAGCATTACCCATCACCAGCACGACCTTACAAGCCAGCATTGCCATCACCAGCGCGACCTGGCAAGCATTGCCATCACCAGCACGACATACAAAGCCAGCACTACCCATCTGGCACGATCTTACAAACCAGCATTACCCATCCTGCTTACGACCTTACAAATAGCATTGCCATCACCAGCACGACCCCTTACCGACCAGCATTACCCATCACCAGCACGACCTTACCAAGCTGGCATTACCCATCCTGGCACGATCTTACAAGCCGCATTGCCTATCACCAGCACGATCTTACAAGCCAGCGTGCCCATCACCAGCACGACCTTTACAAGCCAGCATTACCCATCACCAGCACGACCTTACAAGCCGGCATTACCCATCACCAGCACAACCTTACAAGCCAGCATTACCATCAGCACGACCTTACAAGCTAGCATTACCCATCACCGGCCACGATCTTACAAGCCAGCATTACCCATCACCAGCGACCGCCTGAAAGCCAGCATTGCCCATCACCAGCACGACCTTACCAGCCAGCATTACCCATCACCATACGACCTTACAATGGCATTACCCATCGCCAGCACGATCTTCAAGCCAGCATTACCCATCACCAGCACGACCTTACAACCAGCGTACCCATCACCAGCACGTGTACCAAGCCAGCGTTACCCATCACCAGCACGATCGCACAAGCCAGCCATTACCCATCACCAGCACGACCTTACAAGCCAGCATTACCCATCACCAGCACGACCGCCTGAGCCAGCGTGCCATCACCAGCACGACCTTACAAGCCAGCATTACCCATCACCAGCACACGACCTTACAAGCCAGCATTACCCATCACCAGCACGATCTTACAAAGCCAGCGTACCCATCACCAGCGACCGCCTGAAGCCAGCGTACCCATCACCAGCACGATCTTACAACCCAGCGTACCCATCACCAGCACGACCTTCAAGCCAGCATTATAATCACCAGCACGACCTTACAAGCCAGCATTACCCATCACCGGCACGACCTTACAAGCCAACGTGCCATCACCGGCACGACCTTACAAGCCAGCATTACCCATCTGCCAGCACGATCTTACAAGCCAGCGTTACCCATCACCAACGCACGATCTTACAAGCCAGCATTACCCATCACCAGCACGACCTTACAAACCAGCGTGCCCATCACCAGCACGATCTTACAGTATTTACCCATCACCAGCACGACCTTACAAGCCAGCGTGCCATCACCAGCACGATCACAAACCAGCATTGCATCCCAGCACGATCTTACAAGCCAGCATTACCCATCACCAGCACGATCTTCCAAGCCAGCGCCACATCTCCAGCACGAGTCTTACCGACCCGGCATTACCCGTCACCAGCACGATCTTACAAACCGGCATTGCCCATCGCCAGCACGATCTTACAAACCAGCGTTACCCATCGCAGCACGATCTTACAAGCGGCATTACCCATCTTCCGGCGCGATCTTCCAAGCCAGCATTACCCATCACCGGCACGATCTTCCCAACCCAACGTGCCCATCACCAGCACGATCTTACCAACCAGCATTTACCCCATCACCAGCACGATCTTACAAGCCAGCATTGCCCATCACCAGCGCTGACCTTACAAGCCGGCGTGCCATCACCAGCACAATCTTACATGCAGCATTGCCATCACCAGCACGATCTTACAACCCAGCGTGCCCATCACCAGCATGACCTTCCTGGCCAGCATTGCCCATCACCAGCACGATCTTACAACCCAGCATTGCCCATCACCAGCGCGACCTTACAAGCCAGCGTTACCCATCTCCAGCAGATCTTCAACCCAGCATTGCCCATCACCAGCACGACCTTACAAACCGGCATTGCCGTCACCAGCGCGCGACCTTACAAGCCAGCGTTGCCATCTGGCACGACATACAAGCCAGCGTACCCATCGCCAGCACGATCTTGCAAGCCAGCGTGCCATCACCAGCACAACCTTACAAGCCAGCGTTACCCATCACCAGCACGATCTTACAAACCAACGTACCCATCACCAGCACGACCTTACAAGCCAGCATTACCCATCACCAGCACGATGCTTACAAGCCAGCGTGCCATCACCAGCACGACCTTACAAGCCAGCATTACCCATCACCAGCACGATCTTACAAGCGGCATTGTTACATCACCAGCACGACCTTACAACCAGCGTACCCATCACCAGCACGACCTTACAAGCCGGCGTGCCCATCGCCAGCACGATCTTACAAGCCAGCATTACCCATCACCAGCACGACCTTACAAACCAGCATTACCCATCACCAGCACGATCTTACAAGCCAGCGTACCCATCTACCAGCGACCTTACAAACCAGCATTGCCCATCGCCAGCACGATCTTACAAGCAGCATTGCCATCACCAGCACGACCTTACAAGCCGGCGTTACCCCATCACCAGCACGATCCTGACCCAGCATTGCCATCGCAGCACGACCTTACAAGCCAGCGTACCCATCACCGGCACGACGCCCACAAGCCAGCATTACCCATCACCAGCACGACCTTACAAACCAGCATTACCCCGCCATCGGCACGATCTTACAAGCCAGCGTGCCATCACCAGCACAACCTTACAAGCCGGCGTGCCATCACCAGCACGATCTTGCAAGCCAGCATTACCCATCACCAGCACGACATACAAACCAGCGTTACCATCACCAGCACGATCTTACAAGCTGGCATTACCCATCACCAGCACGACCTTACAAGCCAGCATACCCATCACCAGCACGATCTTACAAGCCAGCATTACCCATCACCAGCGCGACCTTACAAGCCAGCATTGCCATCGCAGCACGACCCACAAGCCAGCATTACCCATCGCCAGCACGATCTTACAGCCAGCATTACCCATCACCAGCGACCGCCTGAAGCCAGCATTACCCATCACCAGCACGATCTTACAAGCCAGCGTACCCATCACCAGCACGACCCTTACAAACCAGCGTACCCATCACCAGCACGATCTTACAAGCCAGCATTGCCATCCCCGCAGCACGACCTTACAAGCCAGCGTTACCCATCACCAGCACGATCTTGCAAATAGCGTACCAGTACACCTACCATCACAACCTCTTCCCGTGTTAATGTACTGTACACCTACCAACAGAACCTCTTCCCGTGTTAATGTACTGTACACCTACCATCACAACCTCTTCCCGTGTTAATGTACTGTATTCCTACCATCACAACCTCTTCCCGTGTTAATGTACTGTACACCTACCATCACAACCTCTTCCCGTGTTAATGTACTGTATTCCTACCATCACAACCTCTTCCCGTGTTAATGTACTGTACACCTACCAACACAACCTCTTCCCGTGTTAATGTACTGTACATCTACCATCACAACCTCTTCCCGTGTTAATGTACTGTACACCTACCAACACAACCTCTTCCCGTGTTAATGTACTGTATTCCTACCATCACAACCTCTTCTGTTAAACCACTGTTCAGTAAAATACAAGCCTGTCCAACTAACCGTGAATCTATCATACACTTAATTTATCCACCCTGTCTCACACTCACCTATGCGTGCATCCATGACCTCTTTGGTGTACCACATCGCACAAGTGTAATATTCACCAATAGCACCAGCTTACTAAGTGCACCACACACGCACAGTACTGCCTCCAATGTACCATCACCCAAAAAACGCCCTGTCACCTCTCATCCTGAACCATGAACCCCGAGATTCAGACTCTTGAATCCGAAGCATTTATGGGCAGAATAATGTATCAGTGTCTACTGCTCTGGCTCCTTTAGTCTGAATCTCGGGGATCGTGGTTCAGGATGAGAGGCGACAGAAATTTTGGGGTGACTGTACAGTATTAAGGATATTTCACTTTGTAGTACTGTACAATATAGTAACTGTGCACTATATCAACAAGGTTGCTGCACTGAAACAGGCAGAGGAACTAGATAAACAAGTTATCGGTTCAGCCAGGAAGTCTCCAAAACTAATAATTTCATTATCATGTAAAGTTCCGGTCCCATTTCAGTATCTGGCATATTAGCTAAGGTACAGTCACTCTCAAAAGTTGGACGCATACCCTCTCACACCCCCCACCACACATTGTGGTTCCACCTGTCAGTGAGAACAAATACCAATCTCCACCATAACCAGAGTTTCTTGTCACCAATCCCTTTATCAGTGAGGCGAGGAAGCAAGGTGTTGTCATACCCAGAATATTACTGCTGCTAGTATCATTACTGACTTCCGTAATATGACATTTTAAAAGTTTAATGGCTAATGTATTTCAAGGATTTAGTAACACCTGTTGTAGGAACCATGACATAAAAAACATAAGGATAAATATGTAATAATAATTCTAGTCGTATTCGACAAGCAACACGATTTATCTATACCATAACAATATTATGCATTACAGTATAGAAAATGTGTCTCTTAATAACTAGTGCTACTCTAATGTGTATTTCCTCAAGAGTGCACTAGAGTGGACAGCAGAATCATTCTCTGGTGAAGAGGTTAGGGTGAGAGGGTTAGGCTCAGGACTGACCATACCTTTGCATTATGTTAACATTGAGACGGGATTTATAAGTGGTAAGGTTAAAGCTGGTATAAGTGAGAAATTACCTGTACATGGTGTAGATATGTTGCTGGGAAATGACTTGGCAGGTGACAGGGTGGTCCCAGAACCAATAATGATTGATAATCCTTTGGAGTGTGATGTAGATAATACAGTACTGCATTGGAAATGTACCTATAACTGATGTGATCCATACAAATTCTGATGATGTGGTGAAAGGGGAGGCTGTGGCAACTGATGTGTTCCCAGCTTATGTTATAACAAGGGCTATGGCCAAGGATAAAGATATTTGTGCTGATGAAATGAATTTAGATGAATTGTTTATGGAAAATGAGAAATGTAACGAGGATGTAACAAATACTGACAAGGTGGAGTTGTAGGTGGATTTTAATCCAGATTTTCTTGTTGAGAAAAAAGAATTAATAAGATGTCAGTTAGGTGATGATAGTTCAAGAGAATTTAAAAGTGAAGCTGAAAGGAATGGAGTATCTGGTGATGAGTCAGTAGGATTTTATTTTCAAGGTGGTGTGTTAATGAGAAAGTGGAGGCCTCTGAATGTTCCAGTATCTGATCATTGGGAAATGAAAAGGTACTGTAACTAGTTGTTCCTAGAAGGTACAGGAGGGATATAATAGCTTTGTCCCATGAACCTTATTTATCAGGACATTTAGGAGTAAGGAAAACCACTGACAGAATACTGTGGTGGGCCTTTGCCAAAGACACACAGGGGAAATAGTTATTTGTTAACTATTATGTGTACTTCAACTAGGTTCCCAGAAGCAGTACCTTTAAGGAGTAGTCATACTAAAAATATTGTGAGAAAATTAATTAAGTATTTTTCATGCATAGGATTGCCAGAAATTATTCAGTCTGACCAGGGAAGTAATTTTACTTCAATTATGTTCAAGAAAATTTTGAGGGGTTTACACATTCATAAAAAATTATCAAGTGCTTATCATCCTCAGTCACAGGGATGTTTGGAAAGATTTCATCAGACACTTAAGAACACCTTAAGGATTTAGTGAGGAATTGGTAATAGATTGGGATGAGGGTGTCCCATTAGCTTTGTTTGTCTTAAGAGATGCTGTGCAGGCGTCTGTAGGTTTCAGCCCATTTGAGTTGGTGTATGGACATGATGTGAGGGGGCCTCATAATATCCTCAAGGAGAAACGGCTAGGGAGTGAAAACCTTCCATGTCTATTTTAATATGTTTCAGAATTTAAAGATAGGTTGTTAAGAGCTCGTGAACTGGCCGCGGAAAAATTTGAAAGAATCGCTGGATGAGATAAAATTGTGATATGACAAAGATACAAGGTCAAGGGAATTTAGACCTGGTGAAAAAGTATTAGTCTTGCTACCATTGCAAGGAAATCCATTAAAAGCAAGATTCAGTGGCCCATGGGTAGTTGAAAAGAAATTGAGCAATGTGAATTATGTAGTAAACACTCCAGGCAGATGCAAAAAAAAATCAATTATGCCATATTAATTTGATGAAGCCATATTATGAAAGAAATATAGAGAATGAAAACCAGAGTGGGGTGAACAATGAAGTGAATTGTGGATGTGTAGAGTTGGGAAAAGAGGCATTTGATGAACCTGATGATGTAAAGTTTAGTAGATGTGAGGATAAAATTCTGAAGAGCTCTGTTGTGTTAAGTATGTTAGAGAGTAAGCTTTATCACTTAGACCATGATAAAAAATGTGAAATTATAGATGTTGTTAATGAATATAGATCTTTGTTTTCTGATGCTCCCAGGAGAACTAATGTTGTAATTCACAATATAGAGGTAGAGAGTGTATCCCCTATTAAGCAACATCCACATAGAGTAAATCCAAGAATGAGGGAATTATGAAGAGAGAAATTGAATATATGCTTGAGAATGACTTGATTGAACCCAGTAACAGTCCATGGAGTTCGTCTTGTGTTCTAGTTCTTAAGCCTGATGGTGTTTCCTATAGATTTTGCACAGATTATAGAAAGATAAATAATATAACTAAAACTGATTCTTATCCTATTCCTAGGA